CTCTCTCTCTCTCTCTCTCTCTCTCTCTCTCTCTCTCTCTCTCTCTCTCTCTCTCTCTCTCTAGAATGGTGATGATGTTATTATTAAAAAATCTTTTTGGAATGGTGTGATGATGACTTTAATTCCGCATTTCAACGGAATTTTGTGACAGAAAAGAAAGAAATGATAGTTTATAAGCAAGTGCTAGTAAAATGTTGGTAATGTATTTCCCATATTTCTTCCAAACATAGCCAAACAGTAGCAATGTATTTCCCAGGTAGCATCTAAATACTACTCAAACAGTAACAATCCATTTTTAGGTAATGTATTACGCCAGTAATATATTTCACAAACAATATATTTCCAGGTATCCAAATGACCCTAAGTGCATTCCATTTATGAATTTTTTAAAATTCCAAAAATACGCGATAACCCAAGAGTTATACTCAAAACATTTTATAAAGAAGTATCAGATATGCTTAGCATGAGTGTTATGCATAAGATCAAAACAGTGATTGTACAAAAATTCAAACAAAATTCGACTGCATATAATCAAGACAAAATAAGGTCAATGAAGAGCTCTAGTAATGGTTGATAAACTTTCTTGGGGAGCAACAAGCAGTTACTAGATTAGGTTTTGGAAAGACTTATCGCTAAAAAGGGAGACCTGCTTAGGTTTGGAAAGACTCATTGCTGCAGCAGAACACACTACAGCCTTCCTTCCTCCATCGTTTCAACCTAGCACCTGATTCTCGTATTTCAATAGCCTAATAATGGAACAAAATCGAGGTTAGACAGTTTGGACACCAGAATCCCAATGTAATCCTGCTGATGCTGAGATGACTGATCTCCTCAACCTTCTTGAAACACTAAAGTCTTACTTCGTACCAAACCACGGTGAGGACAAGTTGATCTTGTGTCCTGATCCAAAAGGTAACTTCTCTGTGTCTTCATTCTATCATGCCCTATACTCTTCAGGTCTAGGACCTGCAGAATCACGACCAGCTCCAGAGGTTCAGGGCCTAAATTGATTATCATATCCTACACAGCTCTAACCCTAGACCGCATCCAACAGAGGGGCATAGCCATGCCAAACTAGCGAGTGCAGTTCGAGGGAGGAATCTATCTATCATTTATTTCTCCACTGTGTAAGGGCCTGAACAGTCTGGTCCTTATTCCTCGATC